AAACATTTCATATACACCGGAATGTCATGGCGGCCTAGGTAAGAATGTTCCAGAGCTAAGCTAATCATTCCACTAGCTTTTCAAGAGGCTCAGAGTTGAAGAGTACCAAATAGCAGGAAATTGACTCGCATATTGATCACGATAAAATTAGTTCCAGTTGGAAAATTGCATTCCTTCTTCTATTTCTGTCTAACGCCCCTAGAGAATTGATACGTGTAGTACTTACACCTGTATATTTTCTTAGAAGAGATACAGTCGGATTTGGAATCTGTTACATTGCGATAAAAACCCAGCAATTATAGCCACAGGGTGAACCGTTTGATTGATTCCTTACAAATTGCTAGTTTTAATGGAAAGGTCATGTAGTTGATGCTTCGTTTTGCTGCATTTATCATTATGTATGCCACAGGTTTAATATTCTGAATCTTGTGCCTAGAAGAACCTAGATCATAATGACTACTAGGGGGCAGATNAGAATCTTAGTCTCAAAAAGATGACACGTGCTTGAAGGGAAAAACATTACGCCCAAGGTAAGCAAAGGGCAGATCCAGCCAAACTTTTAGGGGGGGCTAATTGAGTTTAGGGGGGGCTAATTGAGTTTCTTCCGTCAACACAACGGAAAACAATAAAAAAGCATCTAATTCTTCAGTTCTTTTAATGACCAAGGGTTCTTGTATAGGCTAGCTATAGGAGGTCCTTAAGCCTATTTAGTTAACAAGTCATTTAGAGTTAATAACTCTGGTGTAATACAAATTAATGACGCCCTTATGACCAAGGCCATAAAAGGGCAGTCATGCTGTATATATTTCTAAAAATGAAAATAAATAAATAAAAAGAAGAGAAAAGACTCACAGAACTGTTCGATCAATAGATAGATTAAAGAATTATGATTGGTCAGGAGGAAAAAGAAAGAAAATACCGGATCTAATTTTAGACATATCCTAAGTTTAAGATCATATCATGGTTTGGCAGAAGTTAAGACTTCATTAAATGAAAAAAACATGAACGTTGGTGTCTTTATGTTTTAATTAGCTGTTAAGCCAAAAATAATAATAACTTTAACGAATAATGTTTTGTGGATTGCCGAGTACTTCTTCATTGCCTTGACTTTTTTCCATCTCTGTTTCGTCAATCTATGGATTTTACGAGCAACAATCATAATATGATATAGATTAAGGTCGTAATGATGAAATTATGAAGACACTTAAGCTTCTAATTCTTCGTCTCAACCCGTTTTCGGTCATCCTACTTAAGACGTACCGTATTTTTTAGCGATTTGCTTGACAGATGAGCTAAGCCGAGACAACTTGACGGTTTTAAATCAGTCGAATAGTTCACATGGTGTTGCTTTTTATTATCAGCCTGACCTCGATATCGATTTCAAATTGCCTAAAAATTCCATGAACAATTATTTCGAATACTAAAATTATAAATAAGGTCAAATCGCTACTATATATTTATTAAGTTATCACATTGAGTATCTTACTGTTTTAAATCATTACCGTTATAACTAGATATCCGTATGTTGTCTATGCTGATAGAAAGAGCTTTATTCATAAACCAACCCCTTATGAATGGCAATACATAAACGACAGCCTCATGAATGTGAATTTTTTTTCTAATTAAGTTACCTCTTCTATCCCCTGTAGGCGTGAACAGACTTCAAGTAAGTCTAAATTAATGAGGATCCATTACCAGACCTGTTATACGCCATAAATTCACTTATAAATTCACTGCTATTTGCGGTAAGCGATAAAAAAGATTTTTTTAAACCACCAAACCGGTAAGAATTTCTACCAAATTAGTAACCAAACTAAATCGCTCATGTCAAGTTTTCTTAATTTTCTGCGTATGGCGTCAAAACATTTAACTTCAAATACCATTCGTTTATCATTGGTTAATTGTTTTCGTATCTTTAACCTAATCTGTCGCTATCTTGAGTAGCTTCCCGTACCACAATCAGAAAATTGGAATAATTCAAACAATAATTAAAGCAACAGTTCATAAATGGGAAGATCTGATGTTCGAAGTCTTTTAACCGCTTTTAATTTAAAAAAGTATTTGTAGCTTAGGTACTGAGAAGGACACGATTTACTTTTGTCATCTGACCAAGATGCATCACTGTCAGTGGATAGAGCCTTGCTTTCCTTCTGGTTTGGCTAGACCTGAGGCTTTTTCGATTCGCTAAAAGAAATTATACCTGGCTAAATAAAATAAATAGTCGTTGTGTGTTGTTGTCCAAGTTGTGCAAGAGATGAGTAATGATTTTTAAAAGAGCCGTCAGTGACATGAATTGACCAGTTTAAAACTGAACGAACTAAAAGGAGTATATTACAAGCGAAAACATCTGATAAAAACACTGACATACCCTCTTATTGGTCAAAGTATTCCACTCAAATGGTACCAGGTTTATTGGAAGCTTCAGTACTTGCACAAAGACAATAGTCTCTTTTCTCGTAATTCGGTTAATACACTTGACTCATTTGTACAGGCTTAGCAAATCATTTGCAAAAGTCAACTGTGATGTATAGTTTAAAATCCCACGCACAGACTTTTCATGGTATTTGTCAATAGCTGACTTATAATCGAGGTTTAGATTGTGCAAATGAGCCTGTGGTCTTAAAAAACAGCGGTATGCATCGAGTGCGAAACATAGACAGAATCGGATGTGCGCTTATTTGAATTCGACTACAATTTGATGTGTTCGTGTTCGGCCACAAGACGAACATTTAAAACTTGTTCTCATCTATATATTTGACACCACACAACAATGATGATATGATAACATTTATGCGGAAAAACGTGTACTGACAGTAAAGCTTTACTTGCATGAACTTAGAACTTGTAATGGGTCATCAGTTGTTAGCTTATGTATTTAACTTAGGATTTTCAAGAAGTTTTGTTCTCACTTGCAATTTAAAAAAAAGGTGTTTAGCAAAGCTTTTACGTCTGCTCAAAAAGTCCTGAGTACCATAATACTACGTTGATTTTTATTGAAATTTGCCAAATTTAGCTGAGATATAGCTTAGTATAATCTTAGGCTGCTTATAAGTATTGAGAATATGACGCCATCAGGACGAAATCGAATGGCCGGCATTTTTAATTCTTTTTAATCATTTTTATCTTTTGAAGGAAAAAAGATATTTAGAAAAAGAAAGTGACATTTTACTTTATTATCCTTTGAAAGGTCTTTCAATCCTGGCAAAAAAATCAAGTCTGAAATTTGATCGTAATGGCACTTAAACGCGCGTAGTGTTGGGGCTTAAATTAAGGTAAATATCAGTACAAATAATATTTGATTTGTTCATTTGATATTCCTATGTTTGACCTTTTTTCATCTTACTTTAATCCATTTGTGAACATGGCTTTTTTCTTTATGCGTTTACCATTGAACTGGCTTTTATTGAACATAATTTTATCTCAAATTCCCACGGCACACAGATTCATATTTGTGCATCGAATGAGCCGGTTTTATCCCAAAAATATAATTTTAAGTGATGGAGGAGTAGAGATCCCAGGTCAATCGTGCGAAACCAGGGTTTGCGGGCACCCTAAATAGTGGGTGGGGATGAGATTGAAAATTATATGAAACTAGTATGGGAAAAAGTGGGGGCTAAGATTGGAAAA